TCAGGTCTAATGTAATATATACATTCCAAGCGCTTTCCGAAGAAGATAGAAAGTTATGGTTAGATGCTATGGATGGTAAAGAACCTGTAAGTATCAATTATTATTTAATGTTTACTATAGTGTATTTAAATGATGAATCATAAAAATTTGATGTAATGTTTGTACAATTGTAGAATTGCCCTGTAGTAGGTGCATCAACAAAATCTGAAGAAACTGTTTTAGATGAAACAGGTTTTACGTTTGTATCAAAATGCATTGCAGCACTCGAAGAAAGGGGTAAGATCAACATAGACATTTGGATACACAATACTTTTTAATACTTTATTATACTATTCAATAAAAAATAACTTTAATATGGTGTATTATTATTACAGGCCTTGAGGAACAAGGTTTATATAGAGTTGTTGGTGTTGCTTCTAAAGTAAATAAACTTTTAGCAATGGGTTTAGATAGAAGGAAACTAGAAAAACTTAATCTGGATCATCGTTTTGAATGGGAAAGTAAAACTATTACTAGTGCACTTAAAACGTATTTAAGGACACTATCCGAACCGCTAATGACCTTCCGGTATTATAATAGTTTCATTTCAGCTGCGAGTGCGTATAGGTATTCTCTACAATATTGTTTTATTTGAAACTCTCAAATTAAGAGTATCATTTTCTATATTAGACAAAAAATAAAAGTGTTTTTTATTATATTTTACTTACATCAATGTTAATATTGTTATTTTTGTTATTGTTTTTAATAGAACAAGAAATGAAAGAAGCACGTGTAAGTGATATTCACAATCTTGTTTATCGACTACCAAAAGCAAATTTTAATATGTTAGTCCTTCTTATTAGACATCTATGCAGGTAAGAATATAAATACTGTATTAATAAGAAAATTAATTTGAAATAATATTCAGAGTTAAAAATTTTCATAATGTACATTATTTAATAATTTAACACTCAACTGGAACTAATATTTATTTACAATGTATTTATACAACACACAGCAGTAAATAGAAAGATTGTTCGAAAGTCTAATTTCGTTTCCGCTTCTTAGACTATTCAATTGATAATCAGATCGCTTGGTTTTTACCGCCCTTTCAATTTCGCAGCAAGCACCAGCAGGCTCGCAACAATAGTTGATATGAAAAATATTTATTAGATTAAGTAAATGTATATAATTACATTGTTTTTGCAGCGTGGCGAAAAAGAGTGACAAAAATTTAATGACCATTGGTAATTTGGCTGTATGTTTTGGTCCATCGTTATTGCGACCAGAAGAGGAAACAGTAGCTTCTATAATGGATATTAAATTTTATAACATTGTAGTTGAAATTTTAATTGAAAACTGTGAAAGAATAGTTGTTGGTCCACCACAAGATAATGTACGCTCAACACAAATTACAACACAAAATATCGCTTCCTCTAGATCACAACGTGTTAATGCAGAAGATGGCTCAACATCTTCTGGTAATGGTACTCCTTTTCTAAGATATCCAGTACATAGCAACATATCTTCGCCACATGGACATGTAAGTTATATATTAACTGATTTATTTTTTATTCTTTCACATTTTAAAATATAGGGTACAATTTATGCTGATTATACAATACAATAATTGCAATTAAATTATTTATACAGCTTGTTACAAGATCATACTATGATGGTCCATTAGCAGTTGTTACTAAATCATCTTCTATCGATGACCGAAAAAATGGAGACTACGAAGAAACAGAACATACAGGTCACAGAATCTCAAAATATTTAGATAGTCGAAGTGGACGTGTTAAATTAACTAATGCTAATCTCATGTACCATTCCACAGATAAAGGTTATCTTAATTATGTTTAAAAATGTATTTATCTATCTTTATGTTTTATAATTTAATGAAGGTTAATATTGCATAAATTTAGTATTAACCAGTGGCAATACAAGTAGTTCAAGTGAATCAATTGCATCTGATCCACACTCGTTTTCATCTGATTTGCCAGTGAAGCAAAAACGTGGCTCCATGTTACCTGTACATTATCCATCAAGTTACGCTCAACGAAGCAATGCATCAGTATCTGTGTAAGTATTTCTTTATTAGAGAACACTTTGTTTATTTATTTAGATATCTTTTTAATATATGTGCAATTTTTCATAGAGTTAATACATCACCTAGTAGTGGACGTTCAAGCCCTGGGCAAGTACCTGGTATTTGGTAAATATAAAATTGTTGTTAAATTCCTTTATGTAATTTGTTAGAAATATATTTTTATTATAATATTATAATTTAAAATTAACAATTATATTTTTTCAGGAGAGTCCGCACCCTATATGCTTGTGTGGCTGAAAGCGATGGAGAATTATCGTTTGAACCAAATCAAATCATTACAAATGGTACAAAAAATGCAACATGCTTACTAATTACGTATAATTACATCATAAATAAAGTACTTATGCCAATTTAAATTACAGTAAAGGCTTCTGTGGAACCAGGGTGGTTAGAGGGTACATTAAATGGTAAAACAGGACTGGTCCCAAAGAATTATGTTGAACAATTGCCTTGAATTTGGATAAGCCAAAGAGTGCCTAAATTGTTTTGACATTCCATAATTGTAGATTTTTTTAGTACTATTGCCTACTGAAGCATATGTTCATAAAAACAGGAATGCTACAATGACATATGAGAAACACAATGTTTTGTATTTAAATTCCTTTGGGTAATTACATATATGTTACATTAATGGAAAAGTTATTTGAAAAACATAAACCGTAGAATGATAAGAATTAAAAGTAGAAAACGTAATTCAATCTAATAAATAATATTTGAGATACAACATAAAATAGTTGAGGATCTGTAAAAATATAAATCAAAAGTGAGTATACACAACTAATTAAGAATGATTTATCTTCATTTATTAATAAAATTACGTATATTCATTTTTGACGCGTTCGTAAGGAACCTACTTCTGATAGGCATTTGTTTTCAAAGCATTGGAAACTTAAATCAGTAAGATGTGTGTTTATATACGATTGTGACACTACAAATACCATATACTACAACATTACAACCTTGGTTTTTGCAACATCTGCTATAAATATAATGTAGAATTTCACATGTATGGGGTGTATATTCATTTTTGACTTTCACTGTGTGTGTGTGTGTGTATATATATATATATATATACATCTTTT